AAGCTAAATCCCCGGCCCAAATATTATTGTTTCTTTATGTTACATGAAAAAAATAACCTTGTTTTATATGCCTGCTGATTGTTTTATTGTGAATCTATTAGTTTTTTTAAAAATCATTGTTTTTTGATACATTTTAGATACACAATATGATGGCATTCATCATTGGGAATTTGTACCTTTACATCATATATCTTGGTTCTTATTTTTTCCACATTCCCGTGCTCTCCCTTTCACCCCTCCACCCTCCTTATTTACAAAGATTTTGTTTCCATTTTTTCTTTTTAATTTTAAACTGAATTGGATTAATTTGGTGAAGAAAGGCATCAAGAAAGATTAATGAGTCATTTTTAGGATTGTTGATGCACTTTGATATTGGAGACCCCCATGGTGGATGCTGATCTCCTGCTTGGTGCTATGGTGGAAGTTGAGAAGAAAAACTCAGAAACGGAATTAAAGAGAGAAATGGGGAGCCAGGATGGCTAGTGTTGAGCAAGAAGCAAAAGACCCTGGACAGCCAAAGCCCCTGATATTTATTTGTGATACAATTATACTTACATTGGGGGAAAGGGCCTATGCTAAGGGGCAAGGTATAGTTGCTATGGATACATTGCTTATGCAGCAAAGGCCTGTAAAGGAAGAGAAAAAGCATTCTTGAATTAGGAACAGAACACACAAAAAATAGGTTGTGGTTAATAATTAACCTTGTCTTTTTAGTATAGGGTTTATTTGGGGGAATGGAATTTGGGTGCAAATCACACTGCTTTGGCTGTTACATTATCTCACATTAAGCCCCAAAGCTTCACAGGCCATTTCTTTTGTCTCTGTTGTGGCCATTTGTGGAGAGGTTGGGCTAAACTATATACCACCCATAATTCTCCTATGAGTCATGTAGGCTTTCATCAGACTCATTTCTTAAATTAAGCCAATTATGGAGTAACTCTTTATAACCTGCACTGCTTATAGCCTGCTTTGGGCATCATAAAGACCCCACACCTTGAGACCATAATGTTAAGTGAAACAAATCAGATACACAAGCTTAAATATTGCATTCTTTCTCCTATACAAGAGAATGAAATTATAAATAAAGAGCAAAATAAAATAGAATGTAGGGAGACAGGTCCTTCTCAAATAGGAAGGGTAGAGACAGGGAAGGGATGGGGAATAAAAAGGAATTAGAATGAGTTATGTACATATACCAACTTCATACAAGGAATGTAAACATTATATTTTGCAAATAGGTACTAATAAAAAAGTTAAAAAGATGGTATGAGGTTATGTTGTCATAAACTTCAAGTAATACATCTTATCATAAGCTTTAAATAATACATTACAAATTCATGTAGAAACAAAATGTTGTTAATTAAGATGATCAATGTAGGCAAACTTTGAAGTTCTTAAATATAAAAGATGGTAGAAGGAACACTAACATTGGGCAACATCTCCACCTATGAAGTCATAGTTGAAATCTGACCACATGTGCTGAATGATAAGCACATCTTCACTCTGCTGCTGCCTTCTAGAGATGTAGTAATGGAATTAATACCTCAATTAAAAGTGAAGAAACAGAAATTGAGTTCAAAGTCTTCATGTGAAGAACACTACTGTGACAAAATATTAAGTCTTTATCAAATTTGGTAATGTGCTGCCAAAGCAAGCACAAGTCTTTATCAAACTTGTAGCAGATTTTTTTACTACAGAGATTGTAAAAGGATTAGAATTTTCTGTGCTAATTATAAAGAACAAAAATTAAGTTTCAATGAACATTAGTGTTGTATAAGGAAAGACACCTATGAATGTTGCCTTTTTCTAATATTTAGCTGACATGTACCATTACATTGTTGATATCCACATGTTTAGACCATATTTTCACATTTCATATAGGGACAGGCTTCCAGATACCATGAAGTAGATAGAGAATTACTGATTTTAATTTGTAAATAAAAAGTAATAGTGCACTCTATTAGGGAAATGTTATGTGTTTTATTCAGGCAAAGTCCCTAAATGGAGATAAGAAGGAACAATGGAGACAAATAATGGGACTTACTGGGGCTCAAGGTTCAGAAAATCACCCACCCTGAATTCATCACCTCCATAGCCCTGGCTTTTTAAGTGTATGTCCTTCTGGGATTAGAATGATAGTTTAATAAGGGCCTTCAGATTTTTGAGCACCCAAGGGATATAATGACTGGAGGGGTCAGCCAATGAAAACATCACAATACATTCCTGATCTGGTGAGGAAGCCACCCATGCCTCCTTCCACAGATGACACTTCCTATGCAGTATCCCACTCACACATTTAGTCTGTCAGCTTTTCCTGGGGACACATCCTCCATCTTCAATATTCAGGTGTGGTGTTGAGCATCATTCATCTTGAAGTCAAACAGGGAACATGAAACTTATTGCTTTAGAAATAGGGGCTGATATTTTAAGTAGTTTCACTTTGGGGAGGAAAGATAAGAGGACAGACCTAAGTTAGTGAGAAAAATATCCCCCTGACTCTGCTGTCAACTCTTTCCAACTTGATATAGTGTAATATATGAGATGTTATCAAAATGTATGGTGAATGTTTATATTTTAAAAACTCATTAAAGTAAAAGACATATTATCATCAATCCCCTTCAAATAACTCCCCCTTGTTTCAAATATACTTATCCCATTTTTAATTTTTTGAAAGTGTTATGGAATGTCTGTGGTACATAATGATTACATTTCTTATGTAGAGTAGGTAAATGTACATAACACATCTTAATTCTTTTGTCATTCCCTCCAATCCTTCTCCCTTTTCCATCCCATTGTCACCTTTTATTTGGAAAAGATCTATCTCCCTGACTGCTATTATCTAAGTTTTATTTTATTCTTTAATTGATTGATACTTTGGGTTTCTCATACAAGAGAAAGCATACAGCATTTAAGTTTGTGTGTCTGATTTATTTCTCTTAATATTAGGGCCTTAAGGTGCATCACAAGAAATCAAGTAATAACAAATTTTGATGAGGTTGTAGGGGAAAAACTGAACCCTTTACATTATTGGTGGGAATGTAAACTAGTACAACCAGTACTAGTATGGAGTACTAGTACTAGTATGGAAATCAGTATGGAGGTTCCTCAAAAAGCTAAAACTAAAAATTCCATGCAACTCAACCTTTTCCCTTCTAGCTATCTTTCCAAAGTTTTAAAGACATCATATTACAGTGATCAATGCATAGCCATATTGATAGCAGCGCAATTCATAATAACTAAGTCTTGAAAATGGCCTATATGTTCATCAACAGAAGAATGGTTAGAGAAAATGTGATATATATCTCTTTGCCCTTGGCAATTTCTGAAGCATTTATGGAAGTCCTCTTTTCTGAGTGTCTTTATGAGGTGGGATAAAAAAATACAGTTAATATTGGTACCAAGTGCCATCCAATGGAATAACAGGCTTGAAAAAAACACTGTGCTATATTCTCATCTCCTTGTTCACTACATCAGGCACTGAGCCACTTCTGGTTTTGCAAAAACTCAAAATGAACATGAAAGATGAATGTTTTGAATCAATCCAGGATATGGAGACAGCAATGGCACTGGAATTAAACACACTTGAGGACCATGAATTTCACCACTCAGTGGCACCATGCCTGCCTTGCAAGTGCAAGGTCCTGAGTTCGATCCCTGGTACGAAAAAATAAAAAAACCCCAAACAAAACAAAAAATACCACTCCAGAAGCAGGACATCCAGAACAAAATGTGTATTTAAAGTGAGGGGTAGTATTTTGAGGGTGATTACTGGAAATATACTTTCATTTTGATATATTTTAAAAACTTAAAGCATTCATTATATTTTTATCATATTTTATATGTTTGTACTGATGCTCATTAACTTCTCATCCTGCTGGACTTTCATTTTTCCAAGGATATGTCCTATCTCCTTCAGAGAAAAATCAGCCTTTTTCCAATCACAATGACTTTTATAAAATAATTTTCCATTCACTTATTTTATTGTGCGTGTGTTAGGTAGAGAGATTTGTGAGTGAAATACTTATTAGAGCTGCCATAAACAAATTCCTCACAATGGGAGAGTGAGTAACAAAAAATTTATTCATTCACAATTGTGAAAGCAAAATCCAAAAGATCAAGAAAGATGTACACGGGATGATATTCTAACACATTACCCTGTTACATGTAGCTTCTGCTGGTCTATATGTTTTATTATCTTTTCATTACTTCTTTCAGATTATACCATGAGCTCATGGAATCTAGAAAAGCAGCTGTCTCAGAATTCCTTCTCCTGGGACCGACAGATGATCCAGAACTTCAGCCTTTCATTTTCAGCCTGTTTCTTTCCATGTACCTGGTCACCATCTCTGGAAACCTCATGATCATCCAGGGTGTTAGCTGTGACTCCCATCTCCACACTCCCATGTACCTTTTCCTTGTCACTCTGTCCTTTAATGACATCTGTTTAAGCACAACATTAGTCCCACACATGTTGGTGAACATCCAAACTCAGGACCAGACTGCCTCACTCAGGTCTGTTTAGTCTTGGCTTTAGGTCATTTCAAAAGTTGTCCTCTTGTAGTAATGGCCTATGACCACTACATGGTCATCTGCCATCCACTTAGGTACACAGTCATTGTGAACCTATGCTTATGTGTTTTACTGAGCCTAGTCTCTTTGTCTATTAGCATTATGTATGGACTACTCCATGGTCTATTGTTATTGCGACTGTCCTTTTGCACAGATCACCAAATGCCCCACTTGTTCTGTGAACATGCTCAGGTTATCAGGCTCACTTGTCCTGATATGCTCATTGATAACATAATAATATATGTTGCAGCTTGCATCTTTGGTGGTGTTGCTGTGTTTGGAATCATGCTTTCTTATATTCACATTGTGTCATCTATCTTGAGAATTCCATCATCAGACAGAAAGTATAGAGCCTTTTCTACCTGTGGCTCTCATCTCTCAGTTGTCACCTTGTTCTATGGGACAGGTTTGGGGGTATACATTAGTTCTTTAATAACTGACTCATCCAAAAAGGCTTCAGTAGCTTCAGTGATGTATTCTGTCATCCCTCAAATGATAAACCATTTTATCTATAGTCTAAGGAATTGGGACATGAAGGTAGCTTTGTGGAAGCATATTGCTAGGATAGGTGCTCTTCTGTTGTATCATTTGCTTGGATGTGTGCATACTTTTTTCAAAATAAAATATCCCTGGTTAATAAAATGTCACTAACTAGAATGATCAGAAATTTAATGTTCAAGTATATTACATTACAGATTCAAACACAACATTGCTTTTTATCCTATCTGTGATATTTGCAACATAATTTCATTTGTAAATAAAATATTTGTTCATGTTCTCTGAAGGGCAGACTGGAGAGACAGAGAGAGAGAGAGAGAGAGAGAGAGAGAGAGAGAGAGAGAGAGACTGACTCTAGCTGTCACAATTTTTTGTATGTGCATGATCTTAGTAAAGCAAGTTAGAGCAGGAGATGTGAAGAGGGACCAAATTTTGAAAAAAAATCTATCACCATATTTTAAAAATAGCTTCTTCCTGATCAGATGTTTGAGTCTTTAGAATTATATCCTAGCATTACTCCTCTTGGAAAGCAAAGCAGTGGACTTTCATGACTTGTGAAGTTAATAATGGGACCTGATACTGGAAAACTGTTTTCTTCTGAGGTAAAAAGAGTGTTTTTCATCATCAGTTTGATTTTTTCAATAAATGGCCCAATTACATGACAGTGATTTGAGATGATTGTGAACTTCACCAATGAAGATATCTGAATGCTAACAAGAAAAAGAAACCTTACCATTAATATGCTCAGGCAATTAAGAGAATTACCTATTATTACAAAAACTTCTGAGGCAGGGAATCTACTGAAAAAAAGTAGGACTTGATTCAGTCCTCTGTGAGAGTTGTCACCCTGGTCTGTTTGTCATCCAGGTCACCAAGTGACTGCAGGAAATGAATGTTTCAGGTGTCACACCCACTCTGGATGTCAGAGACAGAAAACTGCATGTCCTTCCCTAGGTTCCTTCAGATGCAACTCTTATATGGGTCCACCAGACTCCATCTCTATTGTGCATTAAATGGTGGTCCTAAATATACCTTCAGATACTGTCGCACTGACTTAGGATGATATTATGTGATAAATGAATGAATGGTTTTGTTTGGGAAAGAAGGATTTACAGATGAAGTGTGTGTTCTGCAGTATCTGATGAGACCCTCGGGTATCTCTAATAAGACAGTAAGAATAGCAGTAAATAAATAAAAGAAAAAAGAGTTGTTCTCACACACACAAGAATGAATTGTTGGTATCAGGTTAGCTTGCTCTGATACATCTATTGATAATAGAGGAATATATGTTGCAGTTTGCATCTTTGGTGCTGTTTCTCTGTTTGGAATCATGTTTTCTTACACTCACATTGTATCATCCATCCTCTGGATGCCACCATGAGAAGGAAGGTATAAGGCTTTTTCCACCTGTGGGGCTCACTTGGTAGTTGTAACCTTGTTTTATGGGACAGGTTTGAGGGTGTACACTAGCTTTGCAGTAACTGACTCATCCTGGAAGACTGAAATGACTTCAGTGATGTATTCTGTGGTTCTTCAAATGCTGAGTCCCTTTATCTATAGTCCAAGGGACAGGATATGGAGGAAGCCTTGATGAGACCCCTTTGTAGAACTTCTCTCCTCTGATGCTCATTTGCTTTCAACATCACTTTTCTGTATAAGTCTTAGTGACAGGATTCCTGGTAAGCCAGAATACTTGACACTTGCTTCACTTTATTCTTCTCAAATGATGAGGTGGTATAAAAACCAAGTATGTTTTAGCATAGAGTAAAACTCATCCTTTTTTAATCGAGCTCGATGTTGTTTGACTCATGATTTCAACTGTGAGCACTGTTTTTTATTAGTATTGTTTATAATACATAATAATTATATTTATCTTGGGAAATTGGGATGTATACATACTGTATTTCCATCCCTCCTATTCTATGTTCCCCTCCACTATTTCCTTTCCCTAAATTGCTTCCCATCTCTACAGAGCCTAACTCTCCAATTTCTATCATCTCTCTTTTATTTTGGTCTTTACATTGCTTATATTTTGGGTTTCACTGACTAGGAAAACAATGTGGTATTCATCCTTCTGTTTCTGATTTATTTCACTTGGCCTAACAGTCTCAAGATCGACCCATTTTTCAATAAATGACTCAAATATATCCTTCCTTATATTGGAGTGGCAGAATTTAGATTTTCACTTTCCACAGATGCAGAGCTTGTAGTTTCAGCAATTTTCTGACTTGTGTATGGTCATGAAGTGGTGAACTATTGAAGCAGAAGAGATCAGGGACGATATTTAAGAAATTCTGTGTTCACAAAAATGTACACTAGAGACTGTGAAATGGGAAGAAAATGTTCAAAGGGGAAGGAGAACTATGGAGGTGGGCAGGGGAAAGGAAAGAAGGGAAAGAAAAACATGAGAAAAGAAGGAAAAATGGAAACAAAGCTTTTGTAAACAGGAAAGGTGGAAGGGTTGGGGGAGGTAAGAGGAATGGGAAAAAATAAGAAATAAGATATAGCATGTACAAATACTCAATGGTGAATGTGATCATAATGTATACTTAAAATGTACCAATAAGCTTAATGAATAATAATAAAAAAGAAATTTTCTGGTTATAGCTAGATATTAGCTTCTACATATTGCATATGTTGGGTGCCAAATTACATCATACTGTTAGTTGTACTGAGGACCAAAAGAGTGGATATCCATAGCCCATGAAGGAATTACTGAAAACTGTTAAAGGCAACTCTTATGCTTCTGAGGAAAATACTATCCACCACGTTTAATGCCATTGTCTTTAGAATTACCATTTTTAGATACTATCAGTTGTTTCTGATGACTGTGACATTTTTAAAAGTCATTGTTCAAGATGCCCTCTATCCTAAAAAAAAAATTATACCATTAATATTCTCAAATAAAGAGAATCCCATTTTCTTCCCAGGACTTCAGATGTTAAAAATTCACCAGAACAGAAGAGAGTTTAATTTACTTCTGAAGTGGCCTCATCCTGGTATTGTTTCTCCTTCACATTCCCAGGTGATGACGCTAATGCAGTTGTCTACCTCTGGTCCTGAGGAAAGTCACAAGAATCTGAGAGCTTGTTTCAGGGTTATTTGATAAATACATTTTCCAAGGATCAAATGGATTACATCTCTGTGTCAGTCTGAATGGTGGCACTTAAAATATTATCTTCATCTGTGATTAACTTAATATGTGACTATTACATTTTTAAAAAGGCAATTATTTAGCAAGAGGAGAATTTAATGGAATATTCAGGTGAGCTTTAAATATACTCACATTTCTCTCTCTCTTTTTTTTTTTTGGTTAAATTCTTTTATTGGTACATTTTAGGTATACAATAAGTTTACATTTACATTGGGTGCTTGTACCTGTACATGATGTATCTTGGTTCTTATTTTTTCCCCATTACCTGTGCTCCCTTCACTCCCTCCACCCTTCCCTATTTACATAGATTTTGTTTCCATTTTTTTCTTTTCTCATTATTTTTCCTTTCCCTTCCTTCCTTTCCCCTTCCCTTCCCACTTCCCCTACCTTTTTGGACCTTTTCTTCCTATTTCAAATTATCAATTATTCATTTCAATCATTTTAATCCTATTTACACTTTCAGTTTCTCACACTAGAGAAACTATTCGATATTTACACATGTGACTCACACATTTCTTTATGAATAGAGAGAACAGAATAGAGAAGACAGTGCAAAGAAGGGATTGCTGCAACTATGAGATAGGAACTGTGTTGATGTAGCCAGCTTTTGAATGCCAGAAGTAGATCATTCTTCCCCCACAAAACTTATTTTCAGAGAACTCTAGCATTTTCAACACCTCTGTTGCTATTCCTGTACACTACTTTACATAAAAGTTACTTCTATTTAACCTCAATAAAGTTCGGACTGAAGGAATGAACACTACATCTTTCTGTTATTTCATTGTGTTTCACAATCCATCGTGTCATAGGTTTTAGCAGATTTTCTTGCAAAGCTCTATACATTTATATTATGTATGCTCAAATTAAAAAATAAAGAACATGTTTGGTAGTGATGTAAATTCGGTCCTTGTTTTTCTGCCACTATAAATTAGGCTGTTTGAGTAGTTGACTCTGTATCTTCTGGGTTAGGAGGAGAGCTGAGTGGTAGTACACATTAATAACATGGTCATGTCATGAACTTTATTTTCAGGACCTTAAAAAAGGGAAAAAAGATTGTTTTATACTTGTGGCAGAATTATTGTATATAGAGGTGTGGTATTTATTTTTGAATAGTTTCAAAGTTGACCGTAGTTATATCTTTTACTTATTTCTGGGGATCCACATCATTCCCCAAACATTTTAATTTACTTTGAAATTTCATGTATATAAAAATATTGTTTCCTTAACTTAT